CTGTACATGACCAGAGAAAAGTACTGTACACGGCAAAGCAGCTGGAGTTGATGGTATATCGCCTCACTCAAGAGAGAAGAAGTATGCCATATCTGACACCGAGACTACAAAGTGTGGGTAACAAGATGAGGGATAAACAAGTGTTGGAAAATAGAGTGAACCCTCCTGAGCAATTGCAAAAGAATGGATTCATGGTGGGACGACACGACCATCAACAATTTCTGAAAGGATTAAGCCACAGGAGATTTGAGAACGAGGAAAGCGCATGAAACCTTGAAATTCTTCAGTCATCGCTGGGAGAAAAACTATATGGGTGGCTTGTTCTCCGCTGATAAGACCATCTTTGAAAGTTTCATGCAGGACCTCTTGAGCATGTTAATAAACTTATTGCCGGCATTAGACCTAGTATTCTCTAGAAAAATTTGTTCAACCAGCCTTCATGTTCACTAGGGGTCTTCAGACCTTGGCGGATACTTGGCTCTCAGCCTCCTGATGCATGGGAATCTGGCGGTATTTCATTGTCTGATGAAGTATGTGGACCCAATGGCCATGGCTAATTTTCACCAAAATCTTGAGAACTACTCCTACAAGACGGGATTGAAGACGCTCTTGGTACAATATCTTATGATGCAGTACAGACACTTGACGGGAGAAGAAACTGACCCGAAAACTAAAGAACAAGTTTGGTCAAGAACAACTTATGTCTGGTCATGCGATCTGACCCTCTGGAAGTAGTAGGAGGCTGGGAGAAGTGGTTACTTGTGTCTATGGACCGGCAGTGACCTATGCCTTTCCAGATCCCCTAATTACGGCGTATCGTTATTCAGTTATACGAGTGAGCTTGATCATTGTTCTAGATGCGTGCAAGCCAGATATGGCGTGGAGGGACAACAGAGAGTGTTCACTCGTGGCTGGGATCCTTTGTTTTTTGGGTACTCCGCGGCTGCTTGTTTTGACTCTAGCGCAATTAAGATAGAATCCTGGACGAATCCAGCAAGAATGGCGAAGAGGTCATTGCCACCGAGGTGTGATGTGCGTGATGTGAACAGCGTGCTTCAGAAGACCCAGTTTGAGAACAAGCCATCATTGTACAAGGATGGCCGCTCATAGTGGAGGAAACAAACTTGTACCTGAAGGCGGAATTGAGATGCAGCTCAACGAAGCATCTGGCGCCCTGTGGGTTGGACGAGTTGGAGTTGCAACATGAGGGACACAGGTTGACGCGGCTTGCGCCCTCTACGTACCCCTCATGGAAAACCAGAGACTAAATCCAGTCACACCTTCGCATCGGTCAATCGACACTCAGAAATCTTCCAGTGGAGAATAGGCTTGAGGATGCTTTGAAGCAAGAGCGTTCGGAAGTAACGGAAGGAGAATGGATGGAAGAAGCTCACAGAGAAGCCGAGGAAAATATGGACACGGGAGCGACACCAGCTGAAGAGGTGTTACTTGGCACGTACATTCCGGGCACCACACGAGAACTATTACAGGACCTGAGTGAAGAGAAATAGGCAAACACGGCGACGCCACCCCTGGGATCACGTCGAAAGAATCTGGAGTTGTAGCTTGGGAGTCAGCGGGCATATATGGGCATGGCATTCTTCAGTAACTAGAGTAGAGAGAGGAACACCTTCGAGGAAAACAAAACGACGTTCATGACTACTATGGATCAGTAGAGATGGGAAAAAGTCATGACTTAATTCAATCGAAAAGTTGAAAGGAAAGTAGATTTTGAGGAGTTCAAGCATGAACTTTGGGACATAATGGTGGAATTTGGAGAGCCTATCTTGACGGGAACTGGACTGGACAAACTGATGAGAGAGGATTTGCTCAGTAAGTTGATTCGTATCTGGGAAACGAGGCTGAAAACAGCACCCAGATCCTGTGAAGACAGCTTTACTTGAAAAAAATGAAACTAAAAATTAAGAACAAATTGAGTGATAGAGATAAAACTGTTGTTACCGCTATTTTTTTGTATCTAGGACTAAAAAGGTGAAAAAGGCACTCGAGACAAGAGAACAGGAAAGACAAGAGTCAGAGAATGATGAGGACGGCTTCGGTGATGATCGTGTCTACATCCCCAAGCAAAACTTCAATCTCAAGAAACAGGAAGCGAGAGACGGAAGATGGGAGTGGAAACGGCGTGACAGAAGAGGACTTTAAACCACAACGGCTGAATATCAAGAGGATCCACCAATGGACAGAGAGAAGGACCTAGAGAGAAGGACCGGTGAAGGACCCAGAGAGTTGTCTGAAGAAACTGGATCGAGGAGTGTCCAAAAAGCGCCAGAGCTGCGCCACGCAGCAAAAGGCAGAAATTAATAAGTTGGAAATGAGGAGCCAGCTAGGACGAAACTGGGAGAAATTACTGCTAGAAAACTTCGGTAATGAGCTGAGGGCAGCCTCATCCGCCAAGCTCCTGATGACGAACCCCTTCACGAGGAAGGAGGGCCAGTTACTGCTCACGTGCTGCCTACCAGAGGTTCTGACATCGTGCGACAAGTTGAATTTGGGCAATAAATGCCTACACGTCTACCGAATGATGTTGCAGTATGTCACTCGAGATGATTCCGGACTGAGTCTGGCGAGGAGGAAGGATGCTACTTATCTCTTGAGATGGATCATGTCGGTGATACCCGATGCAGTAAAACAAGCTTGTGTGACAGTCGGTCATATTTGGAAGTTTGACCTTGAGCAATGCAAACGACGTGATTTTGGGTTAAATTAAATTTTTTAAAAAGTCGAATTGAGCATGTCATGCTCTAGTTTCTCGCGACAACTGAAAATATCAGAAAATAAGATCAGAAGAACCGAAATACAATTGCGGGAAAGTAGTCGAAAATAGCAGCGGGAAATTGTAAAACTTATTAATTTAGTTACTCAATTCTAGAGAGAGTGCCGGTATGTGAGAACCCATTTTAAATATCTTGAGTGTGTTTTATATTGTTATGTTAAGGTAAGGAGAGTTTTAGGTTGATCCATCTGAAATGAATCAAAGGTCCACTGTCTAATAAAAAGTAGCTATACGGATTGTTCCGACCCTGTTTTTAACGGCGTTCGCGTGTTTTAGGTATTTCGAGACCTAAGTATGGGGACGTTCTATTTTCTAGAGTGGGGGTATTTTGGTAGTGGCCTTTGAGCTGTAACAAAGATTTTAGTCACATGTCGCAAGTGAACCGAATTGGCTCCGACCGTTGAGGTAGAAAAACACAAGAGATAGTGTCCCTGACTCTTGAGCCAATGGTTATAAGGCCTACTTTTCTTTACCATCATATGTGACATAAGTAGGCGAATGTTGCATATGGTTTTTATGGCGCTCCTGGGTGTTTTTATGACACCAAGACTACGGTATCAAGCCCACTTGACACAGCTTCGGGCTACATGCCCATTCTAGAGTACCAGTGGTACGGTTCAGCGGGAACGTGTAAACCTTCCAGTTTTACCGTGATAGCTTTTTAAGAAAACTTGAGAAAATCTCTCGGTGCGCTTTATGAAACGAGGCTTAGCTAACCGAGTAAGGGGGGCCACTAGGCCACTAGGGGGTGCAGAAAACCGAGTAAAAAAGACAAAAAGCAAAACAAAAACTAAAAAAGAAACACAGGGCTTAGGAAACATCTTTCCATTCACCAGGGTAGTGGGCACAGGAAATGAAGGTGAATCCCAGGAGGAGGAGGAGGACGAAGAAGAGCAAGTGGACTTTGGGTCTCAAGTCAGCCGCAATAGTTCGACCCAGGAGAATGAGGCATACGTCGAAAGAGAGACTGGAACCATGGACAAATTTGGTGTGGCGAGGACGATAAGCAATAAGCCCAAATTTGGAGCAAAGAGGTAAACACACCGGGCCAGTCGAGAGGCTTCGCGATTATGACAAATTCAGAGCCGCAAACTGGGGAGAGTAGAATTAAAGGGCTAGGCAACGCATTGGCGAATCCAGAAATGGATCATGAAAATACGTCGAGGCAGAAAATCAAAGCCCGAATCTCGGCCAGCACAGGCTACCTGGGATCGACAGGGTGACACCGCCACTTGTGACGCCATTAGTGGATAACGGAGCATCAATTGAAGAAGCCTTGACCAACATAGTGGGCAGCATAGGAGAACAGAATGATCAGATGTCCTTAAGAATGAGCGAACTAGAAAGGGCAGTCTACGTCGAGAGAGAAAAACTGCGGGAAGAGATCAACCGCAATAGACAAGAAGTTAGTAGAAGCGAAAAACGCTTGAAGGAGAGAACGGATGAACACTTGGCTAAGAACTTGTCGCGAATGACGAGGGAAGCTGAGCAGAGAGAGTTACGATTGAGAGACGACATGGAGAAATTGAGAATTCAACAAGGGCAGACTCTTGGGACTCTTGACACGAAGATAGTTGCGATGATGGAGAGGCGAACTCACGCTATCATGGATAGGTTGGACGGGTTACTAGGCAGCAGGCGTGGCTCGAAAAATGGGGAATCGAACTCAGCCGAGAGTGAACTTCAATGAACAACAGAATAGGAGAAGGACATATGGATCCACTAGAGGAAGGGGCAGTTCATCAAGCTATGCCACAGGGGACAATAGAAGCTCAACTGGCAACAGACAGACCTCAAATGAACGACCGACGCAATATACATATACGACTGGGAGATGTGATTCCAAGAACAGGAGTCATGCGAGTCCAGGAAGAAACAATACCAGCGATTCGGACAGATGGGAAAATCCAGAGCCCTTATCAGGGGGCAATGATACTCAAGCGGGGCATTCAAGAGACGCTAAATCAATGGTCAAAGCCTTTGAACCTCTGAACAGGTCTTTGGAAACATTCCTTACGAATTTATCTAGAACCAATGAAGGTAGTGAAAAGTCCAGAAGGGTTTTTAAGAAACCAAGATGCTATAAAGACGAATCTGATGGCTGTATTGATACCTGGATAGGGGTAATGAAACTGCATTTTGAAGAAGAGGACTTGTCAGAAAGGCAAGAATGCAGTGATTTAACCAGCCATGACACCAAGCAAGGATGCGCTTCGAGAAACGGAGGCAACGTGAAGATGAGACGATAGACAAGTTTCTAGACGATTTGAAGATGCCGATTGGGCGTAGCCAACCAGATGAGTCGAACAGAAGGATGAACCTGGCAGTAGCCTCAAAATTCATCGATGGTATGAAGAATGATGAGCTTCGAACAATGTTAGCGACACATTACACACCACTCTCAACCACTGCGCCAACGCCAGAGGAGTTGAGACTCAAGTCAAAAGAATACCTTTTGCTGAAGCCTCCATCGAGATCTGGATATTACAAAACCAATTATGGCAATTTTAACAATGGACCAGCAAACCAAGGAAACAACTGGTACAAACCAAGGTTTATATAGACAAGAGAGGCTCTTGTGCAAATTGCAGTTCGACGGACCATTATGTGTCGGCATGCCCAACCTACAAACAGGGCATGGAAGCAAGGCTTTAGCCTCGAGGATGAAGATGCGTCATGAGAGGATTAATTGTGAAATTCGGCCCAAGGTGTTTCTTTTGTAAATTGGAAGGTCATTTTAAATCGGATTGTCCAAAATTTTGGGATGATGCTGTGGCAGACATCAAGCTTTCAAGGCATGAGGAAGCTTTATCGGGTGTGAAAGCCAGCAGGGCTCGCCTGTTGAGTGAAGCGGAGGCACGCAGAAAAGAAAAACCGCAAGAGCTGGCAATGAAGGAGATGAGAGCAGGCAGTAACGGAAGAGATACGCGAACCGGAACCAGTGACTGCAGAGCATGACTTCAAGATCGAAACGAATGCAACAAGTAGTTTGAGCATGAAACTAAATGTGATTTCTGGGAAGACGTTCGGAATGGTGCCACAAGGGAGCAGAATATGGTCAATAATTTCAGTTGGGGGGCAGCAGGTGATCAGGAACCTAAGTGATCCCTCAGAAATCACTATGATGCATTTAGTCACATATGCAGATTACCTGAGACAGCTAGAGTCAAGCACTGAGTCGAGGGCTGTATGACCGTTGTTGACGACGAGTGGCCCTCGGACGAAGAAACTCCCTGGGCGTTGCGTGGAAGTCTATGGAACTTATCAAGTAATGTTGAACGTTGACGGGATAAGTATCTACACTAGGACCTACGTCACAACAGATAGCGACAAAATGGGGCAGATCTATTTGGGACAGGAAGAACTCAAGGTCTGCAGAATTGGCCATGACCCCATGATGGAGCATGACGCGGTACACATTGGATACAAAGCAGATGTGACTGCACATCTGCTCGACAAAACGGGAAGAAAAACGGAGTCACAGGGCTTCTGGACACAGGAGCGGTAGTGAGCGTGATGCCGATAAAAACTTGGGAAAGAATAGGCTTCACGAGAGAAGGCCAAATTCCGACGAATCTCCGACTGGCTGCAGCCATTCGAGGAGCAATTTACATAGCCGGAAGGACACAAATAACAGTCCTCTACATGGGAGGACGGGATCTTTGGATGAGCTTCCTGGTGGTAGAAAATTTGGACGACGCCGACCAATTCATCTTGGGCAGAGATTTCGTCAGGAATTTTGACGTGATGATTGACTTGAACAACGGTCTGATACGGATTAGAAACCCGGACCGGAAGTGTGTTCAGAAAGCAATTAATAGGATAATAACAGACAAAAACAAGGTACCAATTTTTTTAGATAGAAAAGTGAAGCTACAGCCAGGACAGGCTGTGGTGGCAATTTTTAGAATGAGAAATTTAAATTCGTTAAGCGATAGTAAACAGGTTTGTTTAGTACCGAATCCAAATAGTCAGAGTTCGGTGATTTTAGGCCGGAGCTTCTCGGTAACGCGAAACGGACTGTGTGTCAGTGTGTTGTTGAATACACTGGACACCACGGTTTCAATCCAGCGTGGAAAGAATCTTGGTTACGCTTTGCCGATGAGGACCGACTATGAGGAGACACAAAACTTGAAGAAACATAGTTTGAAAGACTGTCCTTATCATGCCAATAAAGATAAAATTTTAAAAAGAATTAATGAATTAAAATCTATTCATAAGTTGTTTTCAATGAAATCCGAAACGGACGACGGCTTATCGAGTTGCTCGAATTTTCCGGAACGCTCCTCGTTATATGAACTAGAATCTGAAAAATTTGTTTTGCCAGAAATAGAACACTTAAAATAAGCGAGGGAGATTTTGAATCATTGCGGGCGGTTTTAAATCGGAACGCGGATGTATTTTCAAAACATAAGGCGGATATCGCTTGTTGTAACTTCGTCGAACACGAAATCGAACTAGAGGAAGGCGCCGCTCCCCATAGGGGAGGCGCAAGATGGATGACGCCACATAAATCGGAAGCGTGCCGAGCGGAAATAGAAATTTTGCTCGAATACGACACGATAGAACCCTCTAAATTGCCCTTGGCTTGTGGGGTAGTCAAGCCAAAGAAGAAAGGGGGCAGTTTAGGTTCTGTTGCGATTTTTGTTACTTTAACTCAGTGACAATAAAAGATGCATACCCGATACCGCGAATAGACGAGAGCCTCTCAAAACTTGGTGATGCCAAGCTCTTCACCACACTGGACTTGGGTTCTGGCTTCTGGCAGGTCCCTCTGCGGAAGAAGGACAGAGAGAAGACCGGATTCGCATGTGAATTGGGGTTGTACAAGTGGAAGAGGATGCCCTTCGGCTTGTGCAACGCAACGGCCACTTTTCAAAGACTGATGGCTTAGACTTTGACGACTTTGACCAGAGTGACGAAGAAGTACGGGAACCTGGTGATTTGTTACGTGGATGACGTGGTCATAGCAACACCCACCCTGGAAAACCACATTGATCGGCTCGAGAAGGTATTTGGCTGCATGAAGAGAGCAGGCTTGAACTGTAAACCATCGAAATATGAGATCCTCAGGGGTTCAATAAAGTTTCTAGGAAGAATGGCGTGATGCCGGATCCGCAAGCAGTAGAGGCTGTGTTGATATGGAAGGCTCCCAGAACGGACACACAACTCATGAGCTTCCTAGGATTCGCCAATTATTACCGTGAGTTCATAAAAGGATATGCATACAAGGTTTATCCAATGCAGAAGCTGATGCGCAACAAAGAAAAGAAGTTCGAATGGAACGATGAAGCGCAAGCTGCCTTTGAGATCATAAAGCGGGAACTATGCGAAAGGCCAGTGGTAGGCATGCCAACAGAGAAGGGCAAGTATGTTCTTGACACAGACGCATCAGTAGTAGCCATCTCAGGAATACTGCATCAGGAGCAGGAATGGAATGGAAGAACAATTCTCCGTGTTAAGTGACACTGCGATAAAATATGGTGCACCAAAAACAGAAATGTTTGCAGTAGTCACATTCGTCGAAAAGTACCGCGCATACTTGGGGACGCTCCCCTTAAGTTACGCGTGGACAACAGAGCGTTATCCTGGTTCAAGACAAACTCGATGGATCAGAGTTATATTGGTAGATGGACAGTAAGATTAGACGACTACTACATGATAATCGAGCACAGGATGCGTGATAAACACCAGAATGCTGACAACCTCAGCAAGAAGACCAAGTTCTATGCAAGATTGGAATAGAAGCAAGCCAATCAGGCAGAAATAAAGGTAGGGTTCTCGTTTCTGGACAAAGAAACTTATGAAGCGCTTCCCTTGACATGTAGAGAAGGCAGCCGAAAAAAAATATTCTATCCAAGAAGGACCCAGTGCCCTTGGATCTGTTGCTGCGCTCAAACCTGGTCCAGCAGGAACTTTCTCGCATGAACAGAAACAGCCTCTCATTATGGGATAAAACGGTGTAGGTCACACCATAAGTGATGCGGATGCTAGGTGCATTGTTGGAGAGAGAAGTGATCAGAGATGACCCCGAGTGGGCAGCAGCCATGGAATCACTGACAGTCAGCGAGAAGGTGAAGATCATGCTGTCAAGATGACAAAAAAAAACGCAAGGGATTGTAGGACTATATTTCAGCAACTAGTGTCCTTGATACCCCAACACGTCTTGACGAGCACATCATACAAACGGAAAGAACAGGGGAATGATCCACAAAAGAAAACGGTTACCTTTGAAGACCAGGATAAGGAAAGTGAAGAGGTTGAACGAAAAGGGGGGGGAAGATTATTTGTCCGGGGAGACGAACGGTGAGGAGAGCAGGCGAGTTCAGGATCAAAACCCGGGACAAGATAGTTTGTCTGGGGAGTCTGATGTAGAAGAAAAAGTTCCTGATGAGGAACAGGACCTGGAGGATAAAAGTTTGTCCGGGGAGTTCAGATGGATGAACAGAACGCATAGAATTGATCCGGAGGAGGGAACGTGCTCCATCGCAGACTCTTCAATTAATGACAATTCCCGGAACTCAGGAATCGACACCTACTCGGACAGGAACTCGAGCTCAGGATTGGAACTGTCAGAGCTAGCGATCAACCCACTACTAGTGGAGGCTCGAGCAAGGGATCTGGACAGGGTGGTATATCAGGACTCTACCTCATATCAAGTGAGTCTTTGACAATGCAGCAGAAGATCTGAAAACAATAGCGGTATCGAAATGTTCGATACGTTTGTTGCCACAAAAAGAGGTAGTCAGGACTGATCTCCAACCGTTCGAACAAGAAACACAACCGTTGGCGAAGATTTGGTGTGTCAAGATGGAAGATGACACGCATCAGCCAGATGAAATGAATAGTCAGATGAGGGTCATGAAGACTTACTTGAAGGCGAGATACAGACTCTCGGACCTACTAAGAGTGCAGAGAAATAACCGCATGACGAGCAACCTCAAAGTCGATCGAGTCATCTGAATTCAACGAGGTGGTGCAGATTGATCACCAAAAGATTTGTATGACAGACAGTGGTTACAATCAAGTCTTGGCCCTGCATAACTGCCTCAGCAGAAGAGACGTGCGATAACCTGATCAATACCTGGATAGCGAGACATGGTTGTCCGAAGACGTTTCAATTGGATAACTTACGAAAGAGCTCATGAGACGTTCACAGGTGGATCAAGCTCACTCCACGACATACCATCTCCAGCCGAATGGCTTAGTGGAAAGGCAAAATCGAACGTTACTGTCGATGCTGAGGTTATATTGTTCCATGTACATGACCGATTGGGACAAATATCTTCCACATGTAATGGGAGCTTACAACAGTACGCAACAATCCACCACCGGAATTGGTCCAAACAAGATGTTGACCGGATACGAGAAGTCTTTGCCCTTGACTTTCTTTTACTCAGAGTATGAGGGGAAGAAAACTTTACCACAAGTCTACGTAGGGGATGGGACTAAACGACTTGTGTAGACAGAACACTCAGCAGGCACAGGCAAAGCAGAGGGAAGGATTCGATAAAAAAGCAGCTGGTGCAAAAGCTTACTCGGTAGGAGACTACGTATGGGTATTTCAAAACGTCATACCATCGAAAGGAACAAAAAAGCTCCTAAAAGAGTGGAAGGGACCCTTCATGATTACGGAAGTTCACCAGGCGGGACGCTTTTATAGACTGAGTACTAGCCGAGCCACTCACTACGAGAACATTAAGCCACACAACCCAACGACAAAAGTTTGATATAACCTGCAGATATGGAAAAGGGGATTATCTTTGAATGGACGCTGCCTGTGAGGTCAATGAGAAAGGCACCAGGGGAAAAACGATGGGAATGGGGTCGTAGAGGAAGGATCAAGTCCACCACTGGACCTGGATCCCAAGGAGGTGATTGAAGCAGATGAACAAACTTTATTCTACGCAGAGGAGGACTGGCAACACCCCGAACAAACAGAGATCCCCAAGAATTTGGAACCAGATCTTCCGTTTACGGTACAGACTCGAGAGACTCACGAAGAAATATAATCCTTACGGAGATGAATTCGTAGTGGACAGGATAGATCTGAAGAAGATAGTGGAAGAAGTAGTGGGTCTCGAAGAACTAACTGTGTCACAGGACATTGACATGGTCGATGATTACGACGAGGAGTGGGTCGATAATCGGTCCAAGCCCGAGGTGGAATTCGACGACGAGCAACAGCAATCCTATGAACAAGACTTGACGAATCTGCGTGTCTTGGAATGGCTGAACGAAATGACGTCGGACCCAAAGGAGACCAGAGTCAAGATTCGAGATGTAGTTCGTGAAAGCATGAAATACATAAAAACCGAAAGGGATGATCCTTCCTGGGCTGCCCAGGAAGGGCAATTACTCTTTCCTGCTTCCAACCTCGATTTAAAATCTGGAGTGCAATCGACGGGGACGTCGTTGGATATTTTTTGTCCGGGGAGTGGGGGTAGGACTTACCCAAACTCCAAAAATATTAATAAAAAGTTAAAAGTAGCAAGAGAAACAGGTGATCTAGAAGCATAAGCAGGCGAGAATGCTAAAAAAAAAGGACATAGGGAGAGTAGTTGAGTCATATTTTAACTTGCCAAATGAATACTGAAGTAGCATAATATTGACAGATAGCAAATTTGTACTGTCAAAAAGAATATGTGCGATAGCGAACACAGCAGACATGAGTTTTAAGACAGCGTTAGCAGTGGATTTTAAGAGAGACTATAAAAACATAGAATTCTTTTGGAAGCATATACCAGGAATATGAGGCGTAGAAGCTTTGCCTCCGGTGGCGTCACAGATACCGGAAAAGTACTGATGCTTCTTGGTGACGAGGGCGACGGAGAAGCGGCACGTAGACACGGAAAAACTAATCTTGTCCTTGACGAGATTGAGTGACTTCCTTGTGGAAAGGGAAAAAAAGGAACTCTCGGTTCCAGTGTACGATCCGAACAGAGGACGACTGCATCCACGGGAGCTGTATGCACTGATACACGTAATCTTCTCTGATACTAACGTACAAGTATACTTACATAGGAAATATTATTTAAGTATAGGCTGAGTTTAGGTTGCATGCAGGAAGGCGTCATACTAAATATGTGTTGTGTGTCTTATGTTATGTTATATGTTATATTATTAAGACCCTGGGTATGAAGGGATAAGTGACCATGAAAAAACGAATGACAATTTTAGGAAAAGATCTGAAGTTTGGACTGTCCATTCTTAGGTCGAACTTCAAACTTTTAGCGTCAAACTGATTTTAAGAAATTTTAGGATCAAAATGTTTTTATCAAACTCTTTTAAATGAGTTTCAATATAAAATAGGAGTAAAACTGACAAATGTGATATTCGTGACCTCTTTTCTAGATCCTGACTGATCATTTAATTGTTCACCTGATTTCTTTTAATCAAACTGATAAAAAGAATGAAATCTATAAGAAGATGGACAACTTTGATTTAAACGAGTACATGGACCTGGCAAAGGCGTACGTAGGACCGATGATAGATGCAATCTATCGTCGTCTGATGGATCGAGACTTTGCTGTGGAGGACTCAGAGGTAGTCATGTTGCTGGCTTAAAAACATATTGGGGCTTGATAACCATGGGGACCGCCCAAGAGAAGTCTTATTGATGGCAGCATACGGAGAAAGAGGATTAATAGACCGCCCGAACATGAGGGTAATGAGGTGGAGAAACGGAGCTCTCTCAGGAAGTGACTTGGCGGACGAGCCTGGATTGGGAAGTTCCCGTACATACCAACCAGGCGAGATGCCTCTGCCAACCAGGCCTAGGCCTGGTCTGAGAAGGATGCATCAGGAGATGAACAGCGAGGCTGCCTCGTCTAGTTCACAACTGAGGGCAGCTGTGCCACCAAAGAGGGCGAGAGTAGAAGAAGAGGTTCAGACGAACGAAATCATACAAAATCTTAACGAAACGAGAGATGAAGGCAGCTGGACGAAATGACCAAAACCATGCTCAGTACGGAAGAAGACAGATACATGTGGAAGAGACTGTTTGAAGATTGTAACAAGAAACAGGGTGAAGAAATAGAGCGCTTGAGGCGAGAGTACTAAGAGCGTCGGAGCGGCTGGCGTTGATGACAGCCGTAGAAAGAGTGATACCTACAAGAAATATTCCTCGTGGGCAGTCCCCGATGGAACTTTTGACACCTCGCGAGTTGAGTCAAACGACGGAGACGCGGCTCCCAGCTACAACTGGTCGAGTGACAATCCCGGACACGAGTGACATCCTAGGTGACCCAGTCATGGAGCAAACAGTGAGAAAGTTGATAGAAACAGCTGGAGGATTGGTCGCTAATAGGAATGCGCCAGGTTCTGGGGTGACTGCACCCTATGAAACAATCGCCAGAATTTGCGGACCTCCTGGATCACTACGGTGATGACCTTTGGAGGTGCAACGAAAGCCCAGCTACTTAGGAGGAAGGATCAAGTCTACCACTGGACCTGGATCCCAAGGAGGTGATTGAAGCAGATGAAAAAACCTTACCCTACGCAGAGGAGGACTGGCAAGACCCCGAACAAATAGAGATCCCTAAGAATTTGGAACCAGATCTTCCGTTTACGGTACAAACTCGAAAGACTCACGAAGAAATATAATCCTTACGGAGATGACTTCGTAGTGGACGGGATAGATCTGAAGAAGATAGTGGAAGAAGTAGTTGACGATTACGACGAGGAGTGATTACGACATAGTCGACGATTACGACGAGGAGTGGGTCGATGACCGGTCCAAGCCC